CAGTTTCCTCATATAAAATAGAAGTGAGTTAAGTGGGTTAAATAAGCAAAGCTCTTAGAACAGTGCCTGGCATGTACTAGGTGTTTAGTAAATACTAACTATTGCCATCCCTATTTTACAGATCAGAAACAGATTTTGTTTTTGTTTTGTTTTTTTTTTAAAGATGACTGGTAAGGGAATCTTAACCCTTGACTTGGTGGTGTCAGCGCCACGCTCTCCCAAGTGAGCCAACCAGCCATTCCTATATAGGGATCTGAACTCATGGCCTTGGTGTTATCAGCACCACACTCTCCCAAGTGAGCCACGGGCCAGCCCAGGTATTTAAGCGTTCCTATACTAGGTGGTGACAGAACTGGTAATGAAATTTATATCCGTTTTCATATATTAACTTAAAGATGACTGGTAAGGGAATCTTAACCCTTGACTTGGTGTTGTCAGCGCCACGCTCTCCCAAGTGAGCCAACCAGCCATTCCTATATAGGGATCTGAACTCATGGCCTTGGTGTTATCAGCACCACACTCTCCCATGTGAGCCACGGGCCAGCCCAGGTATTTAAGGGTTCCTATACTAGGTGGTGACAGAACTGGTAATGAAATTTATATCCGTTTTCATATATTAACTCCAATCTTTACTCACTTGAACATTAGGCCATAGTCTTATTTTCTAGAGTAGGATAGAAAGGAAATTGAAGTTAGATAACTTGCCCAAGGTCTCATTGTTTATGAATGCATTTTTGACTCAAGTCTGACTAACTCCAAGGTCCTAGTCTTTTTTTTTGTAAATCAGACACTATTATGCTAGAAATAACTTGCCCAAGGTCTCATTGTTTATGAATGCATTTTTGACTAAAGTCTGACTAACTCCAAGGTCCTAGTCTTTTTTTTTGTAAATCAGACACTATTATGCTAGAGATTGTGGAGTATAAAAAGACATGCAAATCTGACCTCTATTTCTAGATGAATTTACTGCTCTGGTATCATATAAGGGTACTTCAAAAAGTTCATGGAAAGTTTCCAGTTATCTTTGAATTCTATTTTTCCACGAACTTTTTGAAGTAACCTTGTATTGGAGATGAATAAAATATAAAAGGTGATGTTTAAGCTTACGGTCCAATGGTGGCTAGAGATGTTGAGTTATAAAAAGTCAAATTCTTTAGTGCTGTGATTACATAGTCATACACCAATTCAGCCAGGCTAGTCCTAAAGCATTCCCCTTCAAACACACCATACCATGAAAAAGCAGGCATACACTAATAAAATTGCATAGATAACATTCATATTACATTTCTGTACATATTCCCAAATTCACAGTTCACACACACGTGTACACATACATGTACACCCCAACTTTCCCCTCCCATATCCAGAAGGAAAAATCTGTCTTAAAATATATTTTATAACATATCCCCAAACCTCATTTGGTATTCTAGAATGTGCCCCTCTGTGCCAAGACCATTTTCTCTTAGGGCAATGAAATGACAAACTTACCTTCATGTCTAATATCTGGCACTAATGTTTAGACTTTAAGTTTCCAGATGATAAATTGGTCTCTTGCTCCTGCTCTGGATTTTCTGGGTTGGAAATGGCAAAACCATTTTAAACAAAAGACTCAATTGCATGACCCTGCTGATTTCTGGAATGAGTGCCTGAGATCAGAGCCAGGTGCCAAAGGAAGAAGGCAGGGTGGGTGCCATTTTGCTTGTCAGCAGAGTGACGAATAGAATGTCTGGACATGAAGGTACCCTTGTCTGTGAAACATCAAGATCTAGGAAGAGGCGATGATGTCTCTTGCTGAAGAGCCCAGTAATGGGGTACAGGCAAGGCAAGGACTTGAGCCCTGTGGTGGTAGAAAATCAGCAATAGCTGGTGGTGGTAACAAAAATATCCTTCCTGAATCTAAAGGGCATAGCAGTTGGAGAGAAGGAGGAAGGATGTTGATGTGTCCTCTCACTGGAGAGGCAACAGGGAAATCAACTTTTGCTGTTATTTAGGAGGGAGGATGGAGCTCTGGGGAATCTATGTCCCACGCCCATAATTAGTACTTTGCCTGGAGGTGTCCAGAGGGGAGTCCCCCAGGGTGAAAAAGGTGAAATTCTGGAGGGAAAGTCCCTTTAGGGTAGTGTGTCCCTGGCGTTGTGTGGAGGCCAGAGGCATCATAATTCCCTCTTATTATCATTTCTACTCTTAAGTTTTACCTGGCTTAGAATTTCATTCTCTGATTGAGTGACCTTAAGCTAGCTGCTTGACCTTTGAAATTCTCAGCGTCATCATCTTTAAAATGTGGAAAACAGCCCTTCTCTGTCAGAGATTTGTTTAAGTCACCCTCTGTTTTGAGTGTGGCTTTGACCATCATGTCATCCCTTTTGCCCACCACCCCTCTTTGTTGCTGTAATCCCCTTTCTCATCCTCTTGGCTACTCTCTATTCCTTGAAGATTTTTGCCCCTGGTTCACTCTTACTCCGTCCAGCACTACTCCTGGCGTAATTCTTGGTGAAATCAGTATCCACATAGGTTATACTTCTATACTCTCTTCTCTCTACTCTGTCCTCAGTTAGGGGTCTGGATATTTATTGCTGTCTCTCACCTCCCTCATGTCTTTACTTCTCTCTCTATTGAGCTTAGATTCCTTCGTTGACCATTATAATTACTCCTTTGCTTACTCTTAAGTTCCCGCCTTTTTCACTTGTACTCTCTTGGTTACATCACTCTCCTACTTAAATCCAACTCTAATTCTACCCTCTCCCTATGTTTGTTCAGCTGACTGTGGCTGGAGAAAAGCCCATAGCCATGCCCCCTACACGGCCACTCTGTTCTCCCATCAGCTCCAGGCCCTGGAAACCACTCCCAGTCTCTTCCCCGGCGCCCCCCTTCTCCTTCCATGAGTGGTCACTCCCACTCCCTCCTTCCTCCTTCCAGTCATTCATCCGCAGCCTCCTCGCTTTGCTTCGCCGCCGTTGCCCTCTTCTCTTTTTTTCCCTTATCCTCTATGCTCTTTCAATGGGTTCTCTGCTTGGAGTTGAGGCTCAATCAGCTCCCCAGAGCTTCCTGTTTTATTCCCGCCCTCTCTGTGCCCGCTCCTGCTAAGGCGTAAATGCGCACTGAGATCCCACAGCTCCATGGAAGCCGCGCAGACAGTCGGAGAGGAGTTAAGATCGCCGAGTTCGCACCTCCCGCATATGCTAGAGAGGCCCAGGGCGGCCGGCGGCGGTTGCGGCGGAGGGAGGGGCGGGGCCTTCAGTGGAGCGTAGGCGTCTCCATGACAGCGGCGGCGCCTCCACGCCGGGAGCGAGGGGCCCGCCCCCTGACCCTGCCTCTCCTGGTGTCCTGCTGGGGTGGCGCGGACGTGCAGGGTGGCGAAATTGAAAAAGGCCTAGTTCCCTGGTTTTGATAGCGACCATTCTTGCATTTCATTACTCTTCAAGGTTCTTTCAACATCCTGTATTTTAGCTACTTAATAAAAGCATGCTGCAATGGGCCCATTTTCCTGGTGAGAAAACTAAGGAATCGGAGTGACTTGCTTCAGGTCACTCTGAGTGTTACCAGCCCAGCCGGGCATCCCGAGATGTTGAGCAGCTGCTTCCTTTGTCACTGTGTATGTGTGTGTAGGGCTATGATGTATTAGGGGTGAGCAGTAAGGAGGATGGTCACTTGTGGGGGTGGGGTGGGGGTGTATTGGAAAGGAACATTCAGCTGTGAGGAAATTAGGAGAAAATAGAAAATCTTAACTGAGGAAGAAGGATAATTTTTGCGGGAAGGAGATTGAGTAATTTGCTTTTGTTATTTGATGATTTTAAGTATTTTTCAAGCATTTACCATATGTAGAGATTAGAGAGTTTTGGTAATTAGGAGAGGGCAAGATTGCATGAGTGTCCTTTATTATAGGATTATGGGGAGATATTTAAAAGATTTTTTTTTCTTTTTTTCCCTGTTACACCTCTCTGTAACAGAGACACAAAAAGATTACTCAAAGCAACATGAATGTGATGAGAAGCCCAAAGGAGCTGCACCTCAGCAACTCCTCTGTTAGGAGGAACTAACAGAGTCAGTTTTTGCTTTAGTTTTTATTGAAAAGATAAGGAAATTACAGGAAAAGAACAGCTGGTTAATCAATCATAGTAAAAACAGAATGAAATTGGCTATGTAACAA